GGGGGGAAGGCTGTGCCCTGCTGCTTCTGCAGTTCCTGCCCTTCTGTTTTTACTAGCAAAATCGTTATTTTGAAGAACTCATGTACAAGAGCTGTGAAGTTTCTTACGTCTTGTCTTCCACGGTGCTTTGCACTGAGATATTCCTGTCCTTGCCTCTTTTTTTGCCCAAATATATCTATGGGATTTAGATTCAAACTGTGGTTTTTGCATTTTCTTTTTTTCTTTCTTTTTTTCTTCCACTTTTACCAGATGAGTCTTAACTCATGAATATGAATTTCTCCCCTCCCCATCTGGTAAACTTTATAGTGCCAGCATTGCAGGTGAGAATATTCACACCTGGATTTTCCAAAAAGACTAATATGTTGTAGGTGTGGGTTTGCATTTGTTTTTTTTTTAAATGGAAAATGCTGAGTGCGGAGCTGGCTATAAAGAGCTACTGCCTTTCTCTGTTTAGTGTGTCTGAGAAGTAAAAATCCAAGTCACCTGATTTTTAAGCTATAAAGGATGGGATTACAATTTCCTTACTCTCATTGGCTTTACTGCTGCTTCTTGCAGGCTTTTAAAGGAAGAATAAGCAACATTCCAACAATCAAAAAATTCTTGCAGCCTGGCAGCCAGAGGAGTCCACCAGAAGATGAGAAGTGTATTGCTGCTGTGAAGAAAATATTCGATATCTAATCATGTGGCTGCTGAAGATAACACAGCTGTAATGCCTTACCAGAGCTGTGCCTTCTAGGTGTGAACTGCACAGATGTAGTCTGTAGCCTGCATCTATAGCTATGATAATCCACGAAACAGAATACGCTTTTACATTAGAGCAAAAGGCTAATTTGGACCCGTTGAGTCCAGAAAATGCTATTCCATGGAGCAGTGACATGACATAAAATATGCTGATACTTTGTGTTTGCTTAATGACAGTGCAGGCTTGGTAGGGTGAAATGTTTCAGCTGTAGCTTTCAGAGCACTGTAGAAAGTCTCCCCCCCTCTTCTTAATAAACTGCAGGAGAGAAGAGCCACTTCATAAAAGCAGGGAAGTCATTTAAAGTCAGGCCTCGAATCTGTTAGTTTTGCTCTCTAGGTGGTCTCCTAGATCAAAGTTCCCTGTCCCCCTGCTGTATTTCACCGCTGTCTCTGTACTTTCAGAGCTGCAGTTCAAAATAAATAAATAAAATTAAAATTCTTGATACTTGTAAGTTTATGGGCCAAAGTTAGGAGCTTGCTTAATCCCCATATGAATCTTCTTGAAGCAATTTTGTTCACTGAGAGATCAAAGTACTTGTGTTTAATTAGCCCGATGTGGTTTTCATCTACTGAAAGCACCTATTCCCTTGCTTTTTTTTTTGCTGCTTGGCTAGGTGGTCACAGTGAGGAAAATGCCTCTTAACTGTTTTTTCTTAAGGTTTTACCTTCTCCAGGCACTTCCCAAGTAGTTGTAAAGAGAACTGCACTGACTGCTCACCTTTCCAGTAGAAGAGCTGGTATTATCTCTGCAGTGCTTAAAGCATTCACTGTTATTTCAGATTGTTTACCCTAATGTGGTGGGAACCATCCCTGCCCCCTTTAAGAACAGTGACATAAACTATTCTTCCTTGCAGTTAGTTGTTTTTCTTGGTAGGACTCGAACTGATGAGGCAGAGAAGACAGCCGCCCAGCGTACGCACAGAACTGCTGCCCAGCAAAGTTAACTCCTTTTCCAACTTGTGCCTAGGAAAAGCCACATCATGCGCCTGAGAGGTACGAACCAGAAACACCCCGATCACCTAGGTACTGCCCAGAGGAGCTTCTCAGAGTTTGGCATTCAGATTACCGAGGTAGCTGGGAGCAGTAGTTTGCCATGCCCACCACAGTGCTCAGGTTTCACTGAGCTGTTCCAAACAAGCGCTAGGACTGCTG